AGTATAAAAAGTTTAGTTTTTGTTTCATTTTTAGTACAAAAACTTAAGTGTTGAAAAAATTGAAAGTTTAGGTACCAAAACACGTTTAATACCTAAACCATTCTTAAGTTTTGAAAAAAATGATAGTTTAGGTACTAAACACGTTAAGTTTTTAACGACGGGAGTACTAAAATGAAACAAAAACTAAACTTTAGGAATGGTTTTGAAAACATTAAAAGTTTAGCCAAAAAAACCTTAATGCAATGGTCCCTGCCTCCCGAGCCTATGGCATATGGTGTTGTGGTTGCAAAACTGGAAGGAAAAAAAAAGATGCCATCCTTGGATGAAAGTAGGGATGTTAGGGGACAAAAATTGGAAGGATTGTTATGCAAGAAAACTATTAGATCAAAGAAATTTTCATTTTTTCCTTTTATTTTTTCTAAAAGGTGAAATGACAATTTAATTATGATTTTAGTCCTTTTATCATATTGAAATCTAGATTTAATCCCTTTAATTTGACATAATTTTATAATATTACTAGTAGGCTATGTTTGATAACATTGCTTATCGATAATGGTAAGTAAATGAACGAGATCGCAAACAAGAACATACAAATTTTATCACTAAATTATGTTCAATGGATCATTTTGATCATTAGACTTTCAAAATTTATAAAATGTTCATTAAATTTATTAAATTTTTTCAGTTATTATAGTGATTATTTGATAGTAGTTTAATAAATTTAATGACCATTTTTTAACTTTTAAAAGTTTAATGATCCAAATGATATTTTAATCATGATTCAGTGACTTCCATTATATCATATTATTTAACTTTTAAACAACCATTTATAGAAAACTAAAAGTTTCTTAAACCCTTCTTAGAAATAGAAATGATTATTAACAATCAATCAGTTTAGTAGGATGAAACGTTAGATTTTTTAAGTAAGATCATAGGTTTGAATTTTAGCTTTTATGAATAGAACAAATTAGAACGAAGAGATTGTCCTATAATAAATCTTTATAATATCTGATGTAAATTAATTGATTAATAACTTAAAATAGTATGAATTAAATATATTTTTATAGATTTACTCAACTATATTTCAATGAAGAATCAAGCATGTTGGGTCCACTATGTAGTCTCATGCACCGTAGTTTCTTTGCTTTTTCTTTTATCAAAACACTCGGCGATCGTCATTATTCCTTTTGCCTTATGCTATGAAAAGTGCAAATCCTTAGCTATATTCCAAGCAAAACTCTCCACCCCATGGCCATGGCTATGGTGGTTTGGTGGTGGGACAACCTTCATGAGTTGAGACCCCATTATCACCCCCCCCCCCATTAAGCTCTTCTACTTCCTCCACTAAGCTCTGCAAAGTAGGTTGCTGGGCCCCTTTTTGTCAATCACATTATATTGGGTAAAGTACAACATAGCCTACTTAACTATTTTCAAATGATCACTTTGATCATTAAATTTTTAAAAGTAATAAAATAATCATCTTTTTTTTTATCAAACTACTATAAAGTGATCATTAAATTTATCTAATTCATACCCTTATTATAATGTAACAATGACTTTTTAGTAATAATATGATAAATTTAATGACCATTTTATAACTTTTAAAAATTTAGTGACTAAAATAATTATTTAACAATAACTTAGGGACCTTTTCTGTGCTTTATCCGTTTTCTTTTTATAAAAAAAATTAAATTTTAACGATAAAGTATTAGTTCAGTTAATTCTAATTTTTTTAAAATTAAATCAATTGAATATTTTTTTTATATTTTAATTTGACTTAATTTGGTCTTAATTTAAATCACTAACCCTTGAAATTTTTTTTATTGGATTTAGATTCATCTAATTCATGATTAATAATTCAATCGAATTCTGCTTTTCATCCCTATTCCATATTTTATTTGAAAATTTTATTTTTATACTTTAATTTGATACAATTTGATATTAGGCTAAATCATTAATACTGTATTATTCAAATTAATTTTATTCGTGGTTTAGAATTTGGTCAAATTATGTTTTCGTCCATGTACTGTACTCATCTTAAATATTTAGTTCTGATATCCATATATTTTGCTATTAATCAGACTTATTAATATCGAATTAAAATGGATCACTTAATCTGGAAACTAATTGCAGAATTAATTACAGGATAAAATTCAGAAATTTAACCGTGTGAATAAGGTCTACTGTCAAAACCATGGGCTATGACTGGTTTAGGGTTTGTAATCTCTTAGGTTTAATTTCTGACCTAAAACAAATTTATCATAATTAAAAAACTGCCGGAATAAAAAAGGGTAAACTACGTTATTTAGTCACCCACTTATTCTTGTGGTTCTGTTTTGGTCAATCAACCTTTTTACTTTTTAAAATCATACTTAATGTTACGTTTCAGTTATATTTTGGTTACTATACATTAAGAAAACTAACAATGATGATAACGTGTCATCATAAGATAATATCATATTTTCATTGAAAAAAAATTTATCATGTCAATAGTTATGTTTTCTTAATGTCAAGTGACTAAAACGGAATCAAAACTTAACGCTCGGTATAATTTTAAAAAATAGTTGAGTGTCCAAAATAGGGATGGCAAACGGGTACAGTTTCGTGGATTCCACACCTCATCCGCTTCAATTGGAGCAGGGATGGGTATAATTTTAGCGGATAGTGGGCGGGTGTGGATTTATAAAGTGGTACCCGTCGTGGGTGGTGGGCGGGTAATGGGTTTGAGACATTACCTGCCCCACATCCGCCCGCCCAGCTAAATATCTATTAAATTTTGGACCATTATGAATTTAGGTGTAATTTTAGAGACTAATTTATAAATTTTAATATTGTATAATATATAACATATAATTTAACCAAATATTAAGGATATTTAGTCTTTAATATGGTCTTTAATTATGGAAATATTAGGCTCTTTGATTAAACCCATAATCTCACTAACCACGTCACTTTCCATGTTCTTTAGCCCATGTTGCCCATCCAAACACAAATTAGCCGTACTATATGCATTAACATCAAAAGCAGCAGTTTCCATGTTCTTTAGCCCCTCAAAACCCATATTAGGCACACTATGAGCATTAACATCGAAAGCAACTTAATAATCTAGCTCTGCGACTACATGCTCCCTACAATCTGTCTCCATAACATTCGTAAAGCCACTCCTCTGACAAACTGAAGCATGCGTTGCTACCCCATCACGAACTGTCTGGGAACCAACTCCAACATCTCATTAGTTTGCTGTCAGGCGGGTCTAGATGGATATGTCGCTAGTGGGTAGTGGGTGTGGGGATAGATTTGAAAATGTACCCGCGTGGGCGGGTGTGAATTTGAAAATTTGTACCCATCATGGGGGGTGGGCGGGTGGTAGATTAAAAAATATTAAGTGGGTATGGGGATGGGGGAGGGGGTATCCGCACCCGACCCGCCCGTTTGCCATCCCTAGTCCAAAATAAAACCACATGTATAAAGGAATGACTCAATACATAATTTATTAGTTTACCCTAAAAGAATATGATGGACAATAATTTTATAATAGTATTTCAAAACACACACACCACTCTTGAAATGTGTTATGTATAGAAATTATATTTTATGTATAGAATCTATAAAATGACCTCAGTAATCAATGATAATGTTATTCACTTATTTCTTTTAAAAATTTTGAGTTTAAACAGTTGTATCTATGTACATATTGTTAATAATTAATTTTTTTGAACATATACTACATTCGAATCATTCTAGATCATTTAAAAAAAACTTACATATGGCAAACATCATTAGCATCGACGTTGAATGCAAAAATTCTCTAATTAATTATTTTATTCAAATTTTAATTTTTTACTAAATGAACCGTATTACACATTTTTTATATCCTGCTGAATGAAATTTGATCAACATTCTTTAAAATAATTCAAATTTATCAACTCATTGATTGTCATGAAAATGGAATGTAATTGACAACTTGTTATTACTATTCTTCTTCATTTTCTATTTATTTCAGTGGGTCCATTCTCTCATCTAACACAATGGTATCCTTAATATTTGTTTAAAAGTTTCAAAAACCCAGAATAAAACATATGGGCATCAAAAACCTAGTTTTTAGTTGGGTTTTTGTATAAATTCATGAACTTTTCAACACTCGAATGATGGAAAATGGCAATGAACCCCCCCCCCCAAATCTGAATGCTTTTGAACTTGTTTTTTCATGGTGGGGCCTTAACTTTACTCCAAAGCTCATCAAGAAAAATTACGAAAGAAGATTTGGTTGATGTGTCACAAAAGTCTCTCACTTTCAATGGGAGTCATTTTCTCTTAATGGCTAACTACATCAGCCGGAAAAATCAGCAAGATAATGAGTTTCAATAAATAATAATTTAAGCAAATTTCAATCCCAATAAGGTAATTAAAGTTGGTTCAAACCCCCATTAAAAATACACCCTTCAAAATCCAACTCCCCTCACTAAGCTAGCATTTACTAATATTAAAACCAAGTTTCCTTTTCCTTGTTTTATTCTCTCTCACATGCTTAACATCCACCAAAATGTCCAAATCTTTTCTTTATATAGATATATATAAATATATATATTTACATCTCTCTTAAAGAAAAGGTTGTCAGTTACTTGGCTCTGTGGCCCTGTGAGGTGTCTTTGTTTCTTGTTTTCATTCAATTGCTTGTTTTTAATTTTATCTGAGTGTGTGTTAGTTTTATTTTGTGTTCCGGCAACTTATGGTAGCATAAAGACAGAAACTTTTTGAATTTAAGAGATAAAAAAGGAGATTGCTTTGCTAGTTTGCTTCTTTTTTGGTTGGATTTTCTCAAATACAGCTTAAAAAACCAATCTTTGCTTGTTTTGCACTGTTTCTGTGGAGGTTATTTGTTAATCTATCTCCCCTTTGTTCTTGCTTCAAGTTACCTGTCTATCTCTTAATATAATACAGTTCCATATTTTTTATTTGTTTTTTAAAAAAATTCATCATCATCATCACTGAGAGAAGATTTGGTATTGTATGGGATGGGGATGTTGATGCCCCTGATTCTTCAGCTTGCCAAACTCTGCATCATTGGCTTTTCTTTGGTTGTTCAAGGATCTTCAGGTAAAAATTCCATCTTTTTTTTTCAGTTCTTGCTCAAAGCTATTGAATTGTACTTGGTTTAATGAGTTTTGTGTTTTAGTTTGTGCAAGTGAACAATCTTTTAATCACATTTAATGTTTTTGAAAATATTGTTGTTTACTATGACTGTTATCTGTTCTAATTTGACGAATTTTGTCTGCAAAATCTCACTTCCAGAGTTCTAGGTCCACTGAATTTGGATTCAACATCTTCATGGATCTGCATAATCCATAATCTTATAGAATGAATTGCAGTTTGCATGTTAAGAATAGTTCTCATGGAAGCTTTTATCTAAGAAATGGTTTTTTTATAGCATGATTAGCAACAAAAATCATTGTACCATGTTTTGTGGAATCAAGTGTTCTTTCGACTTTTTTGGATTTTATTGATTGAGGATGAAATGCAATTTGATCTCATGGTTACAATCCTCAGTCATGATTCTGTAATAAGTAAAAACCAATTGTTGCATGGTGAAATGCAATTTGGTGTTCACTAAATTGTATATTTTTTTGGCTTGTTTTAGGGCACAATGCATCCCCATTTCCGGCAGAGTTTTCAAGTTTTCCGCCTACAGAAGGAACCCCTGGTGCTGTTAAAGAAAGAAGCTTTTCACCAAGCATGCCACCTCAGCCTAACGGTAACTTCCATTTCGCGGTACCAAAAGTTCTTGTTCTCGAGACCTTTTATTGAAGTTTCTTTCTTGACAATCCAGAATCAGATTTACATTCTCCTCCTGCTTTGCCACCACTAATGCCTGTCCCGGTGCCTGAAACCACCAAAGGAGATGCACATTCATCATCGCCAATTAATTCAATGGAACCAACGCCGCATGATACAGCTCCGCCATCATTCACTATTGAGGAACGCTTAACATCCTTGGCTCCAAGTATTCCAGTGGTGTTGCCACCATCTCCTCCATCTGCGTCAACCCAAAATACAGCTCCGCCACCATTCCCTTTTGAAGAACATTCACCATCCTTTGCTCCTAGTATTCCAGTGGTGTTGCCACCATCTCCTTCATCTGCGTCAACCCAAAATACAGTTCCGCCACCATTCCCTATTGAAGAACATTTACCATCCTTGGCACCAAGTACTCCATTGGTGTTTCCACCACCTCCGCTTGTTCGGGTACATGCACCATTAAAGCCGCTAACTGCTCCTCAGGAAAAGGAACCAGTTAGTAAGTCTCCTGTCTCAGTGCCAGATGCTCCAGGTACACGACTAAAAGCAATTCCAGTTCCCTTCAAGTTAATGTAAATTGGCATTTGCTCTAACACTGCTCTTTTTGGTTCGATATGCAACTCCAGTTACTTTTCCTTCACGGACTTTGCCTCAAAATTCACCGGATATCCTCCCATGTATGCTTGCTAATTAAAGGAATGAATCAAATAGTTTGGTAAATTTGAAGTTCAGTATGGTTTTAATTGCACTTGTTCTAATTTGCAGTACCAGCAATCGTTCCATCACGGAATTCTCCAGAAACTTCACCGGTTGTCCATCAAAGTAAGCTGGATATCATGCAAAAGGCATTCCTTAAATAAGTAGATTGCAGCTTGAGTTTGGTTCTAATACAGCTTGCTTATCCCCTCCCCAATCTGTAGCTCCAGCCACACCACCATTGCGGAATTCTCCACAAAATTCCCCAGTCATTAACTCCAGTAGGTCAAGCGCTTTTCCCCCAACTGACAACGAAGGAAATTCATCTAACAAGAAGGCCCCTGTTCTGAAGCCAAGTGCTACAGGTATATAGTCAGCAGTTTGATAATTGATGCGCCATTTCCTGATAGATTTAAAACCGACTTTGATTCTAATGCTGCTGCTTTTACTCGCTATCTTGTAGCTCCGGTTGCACCACGATTGAGTAATTCACCACAAAGTTCCCCACCCTTGCAACCCAATAGTCCAAGAGCTTTGGCCCCAACTCCAAGTGCTAATCAAGAAAATTCATCAAATAGCAGCGCGCCTGTTATAGAGCCGATTGCTCCAGGTGGATAAGTATTAGTTTGATGTGTCATGTGTCATGTGTCCATAGATTTAACCCTATGATAGGTTCTAATATTGCTGCTTCTACTCTATTTTATAGCTCCAGTTGCTACACCTTTGAGAAATTCACCACCAAAACTTACACCAATTCACTCCCAAGGGCCAATGGCTTTACCACCACGTGCTCCGATTCTGGAGCCCCCCGTTCCTGGTACATAATTCATGGATTAACGTCTCATTTTGTATATATTCAATAAAGGCTGTTTTGGATCGTTTATATGTTTGTCTCATTCTACTCTCCCTTACAATGATGTCTCTACCTGAAACACAATATCAGTTGCATCTCCCCCAAGGAAAGTAGAAATGACCCCACCACCTGTCCGCCCAATTGTGCCACCGTCCCTTTCACCCAGTAAGCCTAGTTACTTTGTATTTTTGTATGAAATTTCAATCAAGGAGACTTTAAGAGTTTCTTATCCTGTTATATAATGCAGTTCCAGTTAAACTGCCGCTTGGAGAGTCACCTCGTAGCTCACCAACTGTCCACCGAAACGTGCCAGTAGGAAATCCATCTCCATTACCAGGTTCTAATTAGAAGATTATATCAAATTTTGGAAGTTGAACATATGATTATTTTCCATGTCTATTATTTTCCTCACTTTTTAATCATATTGCAATGCAGACCGTGATATTTCTCCTGTTTCAAATCCACGCTTGAGCAATGGTGGAACACCCGTTATGTCACCTTCAAACGAGATACACAAGCCAAAGCCACCTGTGAACCATACCCTGAAAAATGGTGTGTCGTGAATCTGCAAACATCACACTAATTTATAATTTGGTTATTACGACCAACAGTGGTTCTGATGATACTTTTCCAGGTTCTTCCCCAGCCATATCTCCTCCAGCACCAACAGCTAGGAGGAAACATCGTAATTCTCTTGTACCATCCCTTGCTCCTTCAAACGAAGGGCATAATGCTTCACCATTTTCACCTTCAACCTCGTTTCATAAGCATCAACATAAAATAAATGAACGAACCAGTCCTGCTCCACCACCATCAGACTCGATTTCACCTCCTCCTTTGAAACAGCAAGGTTTAATATCTTATGCCACTGCCATAGTAACATTATTCAGGCTTATCACATCCTGTTAATGTTTCCACCGCAATATTTATGCAGGTCCAGTCCTCTCTCCGCCCGGAAGAAAGCAAAGACTCTTTGCTCCCCCAGTGTCCCCATCCGTTTCCTTCATTCCTCCACCACGAGGCACTGTTTCTCCTGTTCCATCACCATCTCGAGTGGCTGCATCTAGGCAGACCAAAAGTAAGACTAAATTGCTTCATTGTTAAATATATGTTTGTGATATCCCTTCATTTTCTCTATTTTCTGCTTATTCATGATTTGTTTCCTTTGCATAGAGCCTCATATTTCCCCAAAAGTTTCCCCGTCCGTCTCCCCGCCAAGGAGTCCCAAGGTGGCACCACCACTGCCACGAGTTATGTCATTTCCACCTCCACCTCCCAATGAAGGTTAATGACTAGGTTCTTTGTTCCACATTTCGATTTTCTAGTATCTGCTCTACTTTCATTTCCGAAGAAATTTTTAGGGTTACTAATATTTGATTGTAAATGTAGATTGTTCAACAACTATTTGCACGGATCCTTATACAAATACACCTCCTGGATCACCTTGTGGCTGTGTCTTGCCAATGCAAGTTGGATTACGCCTAAGTGTTGCACTATATACTTTCTTCCCTTTGGTTTCCGAGTTGGCTGGAGAAATTGCTGCTGGTGTTCTTATGAAATCAAGTCAAGTCCGCATCATGGGTGCTAATGCTGCTAGTGAGCAACCAGAGAAGACGATTGTCCTTATTGACTTGGTACCGCTTGGTGAAATATTTGATAACACAACAGCCTTTATAACTTATGACAGATTTTGGCATAAAAAAGTTGCTATAAAAACTTCATTATTCGGGGATTATGAAGTACTATATGTGCGCTATCTTGGTACGTTCTTGCTCGGTTTTGGATTTACCTTTTGTTTTTCACTCTTGGCATATATTTTCTTTGAAATACGTAGTAATAGTTGATTTCTAGGCTTGCCTCCTTCTCCACCTTTGCCCCCTGATGCTGGTATGATTGATAGCGGACCATATCCGGGTAATGACAACAATGCAAGGGCTATAAAGCCCCTCGGTGTTGATGTGCATGGGAAGCGGCAAAAAAATGTGCTTAGTGGGGGTGTGATCGCTATAATTGTTCTGTCCGTTTTGGTGTTTGTGGTGTTATGTTCTGCCTTTGCATGGGTTTTGCTTTTCAAACATAGGGATCAAGCTAGCCATCGAACAACAACTCCACAGCATCCGCTAACATCTCATGCCAAACCTTCAGGTTACATTTAGCTAAATATTTTTGGGTTTATTAGTTTCCTCAGTCCATGAATGGATCCATCAAAAACTTAAATTTCCACCCTATTAAATCGGGAAAATGTTGAATTTTCAGGTTCGGCTAGGTCAATGGTTGGAAGCGGTCTAAGTTCCATGTCACTTTCATTTGGTTCTAGCATTGCACCCTATACGGGATCCGCTAAGACCTTCACTGCAAGTGAAATAGAAAGAGCTGCTGACAATTTTGATGATTCAAGAATACTTGGGGAAGGTGGATTTGGTCGTGTTTACAGCGGTGTTCTTGACGACGGGACTAAAGTGGCAGTCAAAGTTCTGAAGAGAGATGATCAACAAGGTGGCAGGGAATTCTTGGCTGAGGTAGAGATGCTTAGCCGACTTCACCACAGAAACTTGGTGAAGTTGATTGGAATTTGCACCGAGGAGCGCAACCGCTGCTTGGTTTATGAACTCATTCCAAACGGCAGTGTTGAATCTCACTTGCATGGTAGTTAATTCGTGTGCTTTCTGTTGATTGATTCCCGGATTATAATATTCAGCATTCCTAGTGTTACATTCTACAGAAAATGGTTATATTTTCCCCTGTTTTATTTGTTTTCAGGAGTTGACAAAGAATCCGCACCACTCGACTGGGATGCTCGGATAAAGATAGCTCTAGGTGCTGCTCGTGGATTAGCTTATCTCCATGAAGATTCAAGCCCTCGTGTCATACACCGGGATTTCAAGTCGAGCAACATTTTGTTGGAGCATGATTTCACACCAAAAGTATCCGACTTTGGTTTGGCTCGAACTGCCATGGATGAGGAAGGCAGGCACATATCAACACGCGTCATGGGAACTTTTGGGTATGAAAATATCTGTACTTTATCGGATTTAGTTTTTTTCCGGTCCTCGTTATTGTGTGTGCAGTTGCTGATGTTAATTTCTATTCGTGATTTGACGTTTATTCGTGATGAATCACTTGGTCCAGATATGTGGCTCCTGAGTATGCAATGACTGGCCATCTTCTTGTGAAAAGTGATGTTTATAGCTATGGTGTAGTCCTTCTCGAGCTTCTGACAGGGCGGAAACCCGTAGATATGACACAGCCGCCTGGTCAGGAGAATTTAGTTGCATGGGCTCGTCCGCTTCTTGCAACCAAAGAAGGCTTAGAAACAATTATCGATCCATCTCTAGGCTCTGATGTAGCTTTCCAGAGTGTGGCGAAGGTAGCAGCGATTGCTTCGATGTGTGTTCAACCAGAGGTATCACACCGACCTTTTATGGGTGAGGTTGTGCAGGCTTTAAAATTAGTATGTAATGAATGTGACGAGGCAAAAGAAGTGGAAGGCTCAAGAGGTTCCAGTCGAGACGATTTCTCCATCGACATGGATGGAAAAGTCAGTACTGGCTCAGGACGGTTGAGTGAACCATTGCAAAGCCATTATTCCATTTCCAATTATGTCTCAGGTCTTGATACCGAGAGAGGACTATCGGTTTCAGATTTGTTCAGTTCATCGACAAGATTCGGGAGGCAGTCATCCGAGTCATTCAGGAGGCATGGTAGTTCGGGTCCATTGAGAACGGGGAGGGGCAGTCGTTTCTGGCAAAAGATGCAAAGATTATCTCGTGGCAGCATCAGTGAACATGGCGTTATGATGCGGTTCTGGACAGGTTCGCATTAAAAACCCATTCTTCCATGCATGTACATGAATAGCAACCGACGACACGCCGTCGAAAATGTCGTGCTGGTTTTGGAACTGGGAAATGAACATGGAAACTCTCGATGATTACAAAAATGTGCGGCGAGATTCTTAATCCGAAACCGGAGGAGCTTTCATCGGCTGCACGATGAGCATAGGGCGGATTATTCATTTTTGTATAAAGGAAGAGTTTCATGATCCACACACCACAAGTTGTATAGTTGGGGTTGTGTGTGTTTCACAATAAGGAATTTTCAGAATCTTTCTAGATTCGTCTTCTAATATTCTCAACACTTTTTTCTTATAACTATTGATTAATTAACTGATTAATCCGAATCGAGTATTTTAAATCAAAATTAATCGATTTCACTTGAATGAAATGTATAGAATATTTGTCGTGTGAATGTTAGTGATTTAAATACTGAAGAATTCTAGTTTAGATCTATATATATATATTTTGATTGTTAATTAGTTATTTTGTATTTTATAATAATCGATTCTAATCGTAGTTATATGAATAAATTAATTATATTTGTAATTTATTTGTATATTGTACTGATCGATCTTAGTTTTAGCCATACGGATGTATTGGTTGTAATTGCAATTATAATACAGGGACTGAAACCAAATTTTCACCATTTGTTTTAATTGCTGAAAATCAAGGCCAAATCAAGACCAGGAGAGGACAGTAGACTTTCCACAACAAAATAACAGCCGTGTCTATATTACAGCAGATTAAATCATGCAAGAAAAAGAAAGATTAAAGTCTCCAAATTGCTGAAGAAATCAATGAATTGGAGTCTGACCAGTCATGGGAGTGAATGAATGGGTTCCCCGATGAGCCAAAGACCATTGACAAAGGCGGTTTCGAGCTGAACGCTTCTGTTGTCGATCCCGTATCGGCTATTTTCAAGAATCTGATGGATTTTGCTCAAGGGAAGGTGACCAAAGAAAGTGTCATAGCGGATGCTAGATGGCGGTGCTCGAGAAATGGCAGCTTCGACGACAAAAGTGTCCGTGCTTTTCTTCGACAAGGCCTCGGTGCTTGAGAACACACAAAGGACTTATACTTCAGCTGGTGATCTTTTGGATCTAGATTTGGAAGCAGAAAGCGAGAATCACCCTTTCTAAAGGCTACATGGATGTCGCACCCCCAAAATTTTAGGACAAAAATATTAAAAATTCATTAACTAAATATTAGGATTTATTTGATATTTTAATAATAATTTTAGGTTAAATCTGTAAACCACGGATACTCCAGAAATTAATCTCGTATTTTAATAATAATTTTAGGTTAAATCTGTAAACTAAGGATGCCCCAAGAATTAACCGCGTAATTTCCCTTTCTAGACTAAACTAAAAATATCTTATCAAGTTAAAATAAAATAATACGAGACTATTAAGTCTTGAATCCATGATCTACGGGTAGCCAAGCTAAGGCCTTAACAGTTAGGCTACCTTAATAATTAGTGATTTAAAATGAAGAAAATAATATTTTAACCTAATAAAATTTGGTTTAACCAAATTCACATGAGCAAAAAAAATCCCTCTGCTCGTGAAACCCCATTCCCAAATTTAAACCCATTCAACCTTACCCATCGCCTTCACAGTTCAACCAATCTCCGGCCATCCATAGTGGCCATCGCCACTTCCATCGAGTTCAATATCGACCCACAACCCATTCCCGACAGTCAAACCTTCAAAATCGACTGTCGTTTGTCGCGAAGGAGGTGAAGACCATTCAAGTCTCACCGTTGCTGATATCTACCACCGTTCGTCGGTGGGTGTCACCGCCCAATCCAAACGAAGCATCGCGCCAACCTGATCAAACCCTTTTCTTTTGTCGTAGTTGAAGGTCTGCCGATCATAGTGGAGAAGTCTCCAAAGCTTCGCCGAAACCCACCCTCATCGCCTTGATTTTTTCGCGATTTCCGCCCGTTCAAGTTGTTGGTTCGTCTCACCATCGTCACTTTTGGACTCCACGTCGTCGTGCACTCAAAACCCAACATTGGATCACTCCATTGTTGTCGTTTCCTCTATCGCCTATGTTGGGTAAGTTCCGGTCACTTTTCGTTTTGTTGGCTTCATGTTTGAATGGATTACTGGCCTGATATGAGCTGGAAAGGGTGATTGGATGAATGTGGAATAGTTGACCGTATGAAATCATCCCATCGCCGCTGTCACGCGCCGTCACGTGCTCGTGGGGCTCCTCCCCTATCTTCGAACCTCCTATAATCGATTAGAGTTAACTCGAACTTTTATGAGTCAACTCATACTTAATTGAGTTAACTCGAACCCTTTTCTTGAGTTATAATCTTAAGTCCATTTTTTTAAATTCGAACTCGAAAACCTCTGAATTGACCCATTAAACTTGAATATGAATATGAATATGAATATGTAATTTAAGTATTTATTTAAGTGATTAATTAAGTGCATCTAATTTAATTTGAGGGTCAATGACTAAATTATTATGTCATTTAATTAAGTTATCTATTATTCTCTAGACCATTCGTTTTTTCGGCCCGGTTTCTCCCGATTCGCTTGTTTACGAGAGTTTGTGATTACTCGTATAGTTCTACAACCCTGTTAAATACTCAGTTTAGTGTACTACTCTGATAATAATTTTATTCTGATATGACTTAGGTTCTCGTACAGTCGAAGAACATAGTGAAACTGGTGTTCGATAAATCTACAGATCTGATTCTTTTTGCGAGATGTGTTCCTTGTGAGCTATATATATATATATATATATGTTTGAAATATCATGTGCACATGACTGTTTTACTTGATTTTCAATATGGCTAGCTGATCTGATTTAATTTCGCATGATTTATCTATTTCAAGCATGTTTTCTTATTTACTAAAGTTTTAAGCATGCTTGTCTGATTCATGTTCTCTGGTTACTATTTTTACTGAATTTATATATGCTCGAACTCTGATTTCCTAGCTACTGTTAGTTACTATTTGAAAATTATTCTCTTCGGGGTACTCTGGGATCTGGTATGAATTCTCTACAAGTTCAACTCCGATCAAACTGGTAATTCCTCATGCAAGTTCAACACTGATTAAGTTGATAATTCCTTATGGACCTATGATGACCCTTAGATGGGTTCCTGTGCCCAATAGGTCTACTGGTAAGACTTGTAGACCCTAAGGTACTCATTTAGGGTGACTCCTTTGCTATGTGAATTGTGTAAGTACTTATGGGCCTGAAGACACACCCCTCAGGTGGACACCTACGCTTCGGCTAGGATAAGACCTTATGGACCCAATGTGCTTCCTTAAGTTGACATCTACACCCTTTGGGCCTATGGTAAATCCTTATATATGTAGTTCTAGGGAACTGCATATGGCATATTGTTGGAGGGTTGTTATGTATTTTAAAATACAACTCTACTATCGTTTTCATAACTTTGATAATGAAATGATTTTAAAATTTAACCGTATATTTTTATTTGTATCGTTGGAATACGTTGAGCTCCCTAACTCACTCCTCCAAACTTTTATCTTTCTAATACTTTTTTATAGGCGACTCAGACTTGACACTCGGAGGATCGACACATTCGTACAAGATTATTTTGTTATAATATTTTTATCTTCTGATTTACCATTATGATAAGTGACATGTGTCTATTTATTTTAAAATATATGTCTTGTGACATATATTACTTTTACAACTGATGTTAAAATTATATCGATAATGATTTGTGAAAGATTTTATTTTACTCATACATTTATAGTTTTATATATTACTCGAATTAAAAATTATTATTATTAACTGTACTTTTAAAAGGTGTTTATTCATAATATGAATTTAAATTATTGTAAAATGTTGTGAAAAATTTTATCGTAATCTGTTATATATATGATCTTAATGCATAGGGTTACATTGGGCATAATCGAATATTTTGCATCGGTTCCCGCACCCGATGTAATACAATTAGGCTGCAAAATCGATGAAATTGACTGTCAACCACAGGGTCATCATCATCATCATCGATACGTAGATAACTCGAGGGTGGTGAAGATACAGTTCTTTGATGGATCGTTTATGTTAGCCGATCATGTTATAGTCACCGTTTCATTAGGGGGTCTTAAAAGCTGGAACTTGCAAAGATTCAGGTATGTTCTTCAGTCCTCCCTTGCCTTCTTACAAGACAGATGCCATATGGTGTTTCATCATTCCGAATTCAAGTTCCCTTCCTTGCAAATGGAGTTTCATCCTTCCGAATCCGTGTTAAGGCACAAAAAGATCTCATGGTGGATAAGGAGGACAGCTCCATTGCCCCCTACATATAATAATTCTGGTGTACTCCTATCTTGGTTAGCAGGGGGAAAGAAGCTCTCCGGATCGAAACACTTAGCAACGAAGAGATTATAAACGTCGTATCGACAACGGTTTTGAGTTTACCATCGAAACCCCCACAGGGAAATGAAGTTTGATAAAGGTTCCAATGGATTCTGCTATGGTAGTGAAAGTGGAGTGAGGTTATATACTTAATATATAAATAATTATTATATGTCTTTATGTTTATAATCGAGCCATTTTTTCTTTTACCCTAAAAAGATTATAAATAAATTCGTAACTTATACATTTTAATAAAATAAAATTTTTGTTTTATAACAATTTAATAAATTTAATGATCGAAATGACCATCCAGCTCAGTTGGTAGATCACAAGATTCTTAACCATGAGATCGAGTCCTACGGAGGGTATTTCATAATTCGGAGGTCTCTTACGAAAATTGTTCTTAACCTGATGTTGAGGGTAGCCTACTATCTTACCTCTCTTATCCTATAAGATGGAAAAAGGGACAGTCATTTAATAAATTTAATGATATTTTTAGAAGTACTGAATGTCCAGTATCGAAACGGGCATTCAAACATAGTTTAGTTGTCTTTGGTGTACTTTCCCAATAATAAATACCTCATGCCTAAATTGGGTCTCCCTGCCGTAGCACACTTGAAATTACGGGAAGCCCAGAATCAATTCAATTATGGCGGGAAATCCCATTATCCTCCACCATTGTTCATCATCATCAACATCCCGCCATTGTATCAGCCGTCGATTGTCGGAAAATCATGGGGACACTGCCGTCAATCACCGAGCTCTTCGGTCAACTCGCTTCTCACCTCCAATTATCGACCAGCGAACGTGAAAACGAAGAGGAAACTCTCAAGGTTTCAATTTCGAAATTAAACCAATCTCTCAACCTCAATGAAAACACTAATTTTGAGCTTAGGGTTTTGAATACCGCGCTCTCCCTAATGTGTTTCAAGGCACCCCAGGTAAATTCGTATACAAAAGTTTTAACTGTTAGGGTTTCTTTTAGGAGATAATGCTCCGTTTACATTACCCATTTGTTTTAAATTTGCGATTTTGCTTAGGTTTTTGATTCGATGGCGGAGTATTCGGTGAGGACGATCATCAGTGTCTTATCTTCTTTGGCTACTTGCAAGGTTTTTCGGCTTCAAAATGAAGAGTTTCTGCTTATAGGTGGCTCAAGTTTGGGTCTACATTGCGTGGAATTGGTAGAAATAATTAACAATGTTCAAGCAAAGTTAGAAGGGAAAGGTCGATTTTTTATGCTTCATTGTTGTTATTATTTTGAATTTTCAGGAATCTTTAGTTGGAAAAGTTAAACCTTTTTTTGAATAATATGCTCTTGGCTATTTGTTATTTAGATTTGGAACTGAAATATTTAACCTGTTTATTCAATGATTTTGGTGGGTTTCATTATATTTGACAATTTTTTTCTTTTAATTTTGCAGGGCTATCTTCTCGTTTGCTGTTACGAGCTGTTGTAAGGGTATTGGTTTTGGCATCTTGCTCTCGGTATTCATCCCCGCATACACCAGTTCTCCTTTCGAAATCAATTGAAGGAAGAAGTGCTGCTGTTTCCAAGTTTCATTGTCATTTGCCTGTTGAACTGTCCCTTGAAAATGAAGAACTACCATTGAGGTTTGTTGTGAACGAAAATTGCTACCATGCTATATAGAAGTTAACCACTTTAGTTTCCATAACTTATTTTGTTCGGTTTTGTTTTTTTTCACGACTCCAAGGCACTTGAAGTTATAAGTGCTCAAATGTTTCAATATATAGTTGAGTTTGGCAAGTTGTTTTTCTTAAGATGTATGTTTTAATCTTCGAGCAGGTTGCTCTTCTGGTATCTTGACCCGCAAACTCTAAAGCAAGCTGTTTTAAAGATTTTACAAGATACCAGAGAAAGGCCTTTCCTTTACTTGAGCGAAGAATTTCATCGGAGAATGGATTGGCGTGCTATCATAATATGCTTAGTGTTTTCTCCTGTTATGTTTATTGAGACGAGAGCTCTATTGCATAATTGGTTTCTCAGGACGTGAGTTCCCATTTCATGTTCTCACATATTTCAGGTTCTTCTGACTATCGTCTTTATACGTTCTGCGGATACATCTAATTATTTTTCAAATTTTCTACCAATCATTACCCATTACTTATAGTGCCAACTTCGGACAACCTGATTTCCTTCTGTTACTATATGTATCATTTTCTCTTTTAGGACGTGCATGGAAGCAGTTTTAAGTTATTCTTCTATGAGGAAAATATCGTGAATTGGATGATCTCATGTTGGTTTTAACTTTATAGCTTTCAGATACTGCTTATAACGCTTACTACATGAATATGTTACTGCAAGCTTTTTGATGGTCAGGCAATCAGGCTGGCCTTGTGATGGTCATGTATCACGATTCATGATATGTTGAGGTATTGTATTGAAAACATGTTATTCATATATGGCCAACTCCAAGGCACTCGTTTTCAGTTGTGCTGCTTCCATTGACAAGATGTTTTGATTAATAGATGGCATGTAAGATACATTATATCACTATTTGTATTTTTTTCATCTAGTGTAACTTGATTAACAAACATTTTCGCATTATTAAATTAGTTTTAAAACAGGGGTCTGGCTTTTGTGCTAGAGCTTCTGGCTGGGTTAGTGGCAGCAATTTTGGATGTAATTTTGAGACCAACATGGTGGGGCTTATCTGTGGAATTGGGATCTAAGCTACCATTTTCCGATGCATATTTCCCATATCAGAACAACTTATTGAGGATTTTCGTTGGAGCCTTCTCTGTTGAGAACTTTATACATTTAGCTCATGCCACGAGTGTACACGAATCTCTTGGTGATGAACAACTCCGTCAAATCAAGCCAACAGCAGCGGCAATTGGGAGATAGATCACAAATCTCTCTGGTAAACTCCAACACTAAGTGGTTACTACCTACCCTATTCTTAACTTGAAAGATTTATGATGAATTCTTTGCCTTGTAGGGCTTTGGCAATAGACTTTCCAGATTGGTTCTATTTTGCTTCTGTTTTACTCTTCTCTGGGAAAAGTCCCCAAAAGAATTTTCAATCTAAATTCTCGTTATCACCTAAAGTCCGAGAAGTACATGATAAGGAATTATTGTCTACGTTTGCAGCAAGGTATATTGCATGGATTCTGAGCCCCACTAGTAAATCTAATCAGGATTTGTTAGTTGATTTTTTTACTAAAATATCCGAGTCTTGGGCTCTGAAACAGTTCGACTTAGCTACGCACAGCAAAGGAGCTACCTTCAAGAAGAAACTTAAGAAACCGAAAGTTCATAACAAGAAGGAGGATTATTCTCTGGAGAAAAAATATGACTGTCATATTATTGGGATCTGGCTCGACCAAATTGAAACCATATACCTTAGTTACGCTGGTAATACAACCATCGACAGTTCTGCATCTGCTGATTTAAATGCATTCAATGTTCTTAGCCTGCAGCAAAATGTTCTTTTAAGGAGGATTCTATTAGGCATATTGATTGGATCCCCTGTTAGTATAACCGAGGATGGATGTGAACTTCTACTGCACTATGCTGCAACTGGGAAATTTCTTCGGTCAAGGGAAACTATGCTTGCCAGACCAAGACATGTAAAACAGAACTCTGAAAGGGATGACTTAACTACCTGGATTGAAAAATGTGGTGACAAAGATGTTTTAGCAGGTTCTTTTACTGTTTTTGGTTTGACAGATGCTGTTGATAGGATATCTGTTTCTTTTTTCGAGAATGAAGAGAGTGGGTTAGATTTCATTTACCAGGTGAAAGTAAAATCGGGGAAGTATTTAATGAAGTGCATCAAGAGACTAAGCCAACTTAACATTAGTGAAGGAGGAGTTTTGACATTAAGGGACCTACGCAGTAGATTGGAACTATGGAGGCATCAAGGGCCGGAAATATTACATGTTCAGAAAGACGTAGATGATATCATCAATGACTTGAATCAGAAACTATCTTTGTGATGAACAGGTTTTTATAAAGATGTAAATGTTTACAAGGGTAGAGTTCTTCAATTTTGTGAAAAGCAAATTGCAGGCCATAGATTGGATTGTGTATTCTTCTGCATCTCAACTATACAGCAACCCGGTAACCTCTTTCGGCATGTAATTTTTTATCATGAAAAAAGCTATTGAAATGCTTGGATTTATTACTTTTACATTTACTTTTACAAAGAGAAGCAATGAAATTGCTTGCCTCTAGAGACTTGACATGCATAATTTGATTTCAGCAAAAGCTAGAGTAATCCTAGTGATTCTAAGTATGCTTATAAAGCTGTATTAGACAAATAGTAGCTTCTCTATGTACATTAAAACATTCTTTTTCGACCATTTTACGACCAATGTTAATCGTTGGCCAAACAGACTGTGTTCTGTTTCACTCTGTTCATACTTTATTGTTTTTTATCTTCTTTGCAGTAAGAGCATGTGACTGTAAGTATACATATACTGAATATGAACCAGCTTGAACTTCATTACCACAAATCTCTCTCTTTAGTTTTCAGTTGTAGGCAGCTTCAACTGGGACTTTCTTCAACCAGTTCTTTTAACCAAAGCAATTCTAGATGGATCACCACGCCATTCTTCAAACACGACCAAAAGGTTTCCACTCGGCTTCACCCATGAACGCGGAACATGGTACCTGTAAGTACAAACTCTACCATGAATATTTGAATCCGATAAAACAGATAATAGTGAAAACCAAATATAGTTTCTCACCATCTTTGAGAAGGTTGCCCACAGCCAGTTCTACATTTCTTGTCAGTGTAAGTTCCGGCATAATCACAACCACCGCAGCTGCCACTAGCTATATATCCGGGCCAATGGCGTCCGATGCTTTGGCCGTTTATCCATACTTGCCCTTTTCCCATGCTACTCATATCTAAAGCTAATGGTTCATTGCCTCCCGGTGCATTGAAAGTTGCCTGGAAAGTAACAGATGTTAAATATTTTTATCTGATTCGATCTTTTTCAGACATGGAATCTGTTAAAATCAGACATGGAAACTCCCCAACCTTGTACCAAGTCATAGGTTGCTTCTTCACCAATTGTGCTCCTTGAACCCATTCAACAGAAGAGCTTCCAGAAACAGTGTGAAGGTTTAAGGCTTCCCCTTTTAGACCAATCTGAAAACATCATGCCAACATTGTCTATTAGTATATCAATTTGCTTGCAAGTACAAATACTCAAAATTCATAAAACAAACCTTGTAAGACCATTTCTGCTTAGATATGTCTCTTGTCCCCTCATTTAGACCCTTCAATGTAACCGGACCTAGAACACCGGCATTCCATGTCTCGAAATGAGTTCCGACATTCTGAAACATATGAAATTGCAACAATATGTCATCAAAAGTCAAGAAAGATCGAAGCTAACATCATAAAACTGACTGAACTAACCGGGAGTCCTACTGCAGCACTTAATAAGGAAATCCTGTTAATCCCGGCTCTTAGCTTGACATTCTTGCTGAATGTTAGTTTTGGATTGTCTAACCCACCATATGCGATACCTGAATTGATATAGTCGATAATGAGGTTCATTGAAAGCTTTTGATTATCTCTGATTCCCCGGAGTTTTCGGCTATACCTGCTAGTTGACCGTTGATGAAAACATGCAAAGCATGACCTGCTGACCAAATGGTGAGAAGAGGATCTTGTCCATTCTTCAAGTCGTTAGGGCCAATTTTTACACTAGTTGAACGAGAGAATGTAAGGAAATCGAATACGATATCGAAGATATGGTAATACGTATTCAGGTACGTTTACTCACTCTGTCATGTACCACAAATAATCTGATTTATCTGCCGTGAGATATACTTGTTCCCAAAGCCCATCATGTTCAAATGTATCTCGATCATCAGCTGTGGGGCTTTGTTCATTGTATGACTGCCATGAGAATGCACTGTTTACTGGCACCATTGCCGGTTGAGATCTTGGGGCTCCAACCTGTGCAACAATTGCATTCAAATGATAAAATTTTCATTAAAGAGATTGAAGAACAGAACAAAAGCTTGAATTTCATGTTACAGAGATCTTTTCTTACCCTGGCAGTGTTGAAAACAGCAGTTTTGCAGTCAGGAAGGATGCTGATGGACCAACGAGGTAAGTCGTATTGAACTTTTCCGAACATTACTTTTACGGAGTATTCCGTGTCGTAGTTCGCAAGGAATGCAGCACATGCAGACCTCGACCTGAAGACATGAGCCTGCAATCATCGATTATGAGAAATTTCAATTCCGGAAACAAAACAATGGGGAGTTAAGTTCACAGCAAAAACACTGACCTCCTGGTTACGTCCGAGAGATGTCACTGTAGGATTTGCAGAAATTAAAGCTGGTTCACTTGATTTGATCGCTTTATGCAAATCTCTTAGATGTCCCCATTTTGGTTCCCTTTTAAGCCCTGGTTAAGACAAAAACAGCCATCCATGAAGCCGAACGGTATGATACTGTGATCTCGACAAGTAGTCGGAATCTTTAATGCCCATAACTACATACCGTATTCATCAAGTGGAGCATCATAATCATAGCTAGTAGCAATGAAGGGACCACCAGCGGTCCGGCCGAAGTTGGTTCCTCCGTGGTACTGAAGCAAAAAGTTAAATGTTAAAAAAAAAACCTCGTGAAATTGAAGGAAGAGAAGAGATACCAAAACATATTATACCATGTAATAGTTAACAAACGAACCACCATTCTGTATGAATCTTGCAACCGAAAACGCTATGTCCTCGACAGGTCTTGTAGGAACTGCACTACCAAAGCCCGTAAACCTAGCATTCGAACAAACCAAAACTCTTTAAGTGAACTTAAACTACATAACAGAAACAATAGACAACACAAGCAAAAACCTTGTGACTCACCAACCAGTCCAGTTTTCAGTCCACATTTTTGGCTTATACTTTGCATTGGGAGTAAAGTTCTCGCAGTAGAATCCGTTGCAGGTGTTTATCTGTGACAGTACAAAGAGATAAGGTTTCCGGAATTCCCAGTACGATAACGAGTCAAAACCTTGACTTTACTTGAGTTGTAAATGAATAGGAATCAACCAAAAACACTGTTGGAAACCCCGCCAAGAAAGGAGGATCACATAGCACTAATTCAAAAGGCATACCAACAAAATCTTTAAAGCAACATGGCATGAAATCTTACCACAGGGTCAGGAGCATCATCTTGCTTGCACATAATCCACGGGACTCCAGTGTTGAGTCCGACCGCCATTTGTGCAGCCCATTTGGTGTAGGCTTTACCTGGAGCCCCGATTTCCCATTCAACCGGTCCGAATTCATTCTCAATCTGAGACATAATGATTGGACCTCCTTGAGTCTGAAATAGCCTCTCTGCTTTCATCATGTTGACTATCTTAGTTGTGAATATCTGCATTGCAGCCTTGAAAGGTCCATTGTCTGTCCTAAAAGCAATGCCACGAACATATTTTAACCACACAGGAAACCCCCTGAACCACAGAAGAACACTCAGCATATCAGCCAACATCTGCAGAAATTTACCAAGGATGTGATTGGTAGAAAAACAAAACATTAAGTACCCATAGTTCCACTCAGCACAAACATAGGGACCAATCCGGAGATTAACATATAGTCCAGCTTGTTGGACCAGTTTAACAAATTTAACCAGATCATATCTATCCTGAAAGTAATACTGCAAAACAAAAGGAAACAAAAATTTTAAAAATTCAAATAGAAGAAAAGAAAAAAATAATGAATTTTGTAATATAAAATAATAAAAGTGTATTACATTTCCAGGAGAAGGCTCATGTCCATTCCAGAAAACATAAGTTTGTATAACATCCAAGCCACCTTCTTTAGCCTTTGCTATAAGATCAGGCCACATCTGCACATACATACATACATACATAAATGGATGAATTAAAGGTTGAATCTTGAAAGCTAAACAGCTAAAATGGGTGAGGCTTTTAAGCAAATACCTCTGGGGTGCTTCTTGGATAATGAATAGAACCAGAAAGAAGAATTCTTCTTCTGCCATTAATGGTGATAGCTTTGCTGTCATAAGAAACAGTGGCTGAAATTGAAAAAACCCAGGAAGAAAACAACAGCCATAAAATGAACACGAACACGTTTTTTCTGTACAACATTATGAACAACAAAACTTGAAGAAATCAATGAGGTTTTTGTCTTTTGTCTTTGAGAAACCAAAAAACAACTGGAGGGAGAGTTGTTGTTTTGGGTTTTAATGAAGCTATGTCTTCTCCCTCTGAAACTGCTTTTTATAGGTAATTCTTGATCAAATTTGCCTGCCGTGGGAGACACCTCTCTGACACGAAACTTCAACATCCATGATCCATTCTTAAATTACCTACCTTTGTGTGTACTCTTCTGTTAACGTTATTTTCTCGACTTATTATTTTAAGTTCGAATCATTTGTATTTCATTCAAATTAGTTAAAATTATTTATTTATATTAGTTTGGATTTAGTTTATATTCGAATTCAGATTATCATATTAAATTGATTCGAACTTAAATCGGTATAATTTAATTTTCGAATTAAAATTACCAGGTAAAAGCATTTAAGGCAAGTATCTAATTTTTTTTGGATTAAAAGTATCTAACCGTTCAGCTCAGTTGGTAGAGCACAATGCTCTTAATGTTGGGGGTCATGGGATCAAGTCTCATGGAGGGCATTTCATAATTTGGAAGTTTTCCACGGAAGCTGCTCTCAACCTGACGTTGGGGGTTGTCTACTATACTACCTCTCTCTTATCCCATTACATATGAGAATAAGGTCAGCTAATTTTTTTAACGTGTAAAAGTGGGACATATCTTGATATCAATGATGCTTTTACTGTAGTATCTTATTATTGTTCTTTCTTGAAGAAAGATTCTCCCAGTACCAACAGGGGAGATTATTTATTTAAATATTTATTTATACTTTTTTATTTAATTATATATTGATATTCCATTCATAACTTAAAAATTTATATTAAACATAATTAATTTTTAAAAAGTACTCGAATTTATGAGTTTTTAAATATTATAACGATATTAATCGAATTATTATTTTTCATTTTTAGAAAAAAAAAAGTATGGATTGTGTTTGCTTAAAAGTATACGTAATAAGGATGCTTTTTGTTTCTCTTTTCTTCAATCAATAGAAATTGTCTTGTTTTGTTCCATTTTTTTTTCTAACAGGTTATTATCTGATGTATTATTAGTGAATAAAATAAATTCACGATGATGCTAAACATTTTTAAATAAATTTAAAATTTTTAAAATAAATAAGAAAATATTTGATATTATTTAAACATCATTTATGAAATTATTATATTTTCAATTTCAGACTATAGGATAATAATTCATTCTTTATTTATATAAAGTAAGAATTAACTGCATTATGCATCTCCAAATTATGATTTTTATTTTAATTCCATCTTTAAACTTTTTTAGT